ACTATTACTATTACTATTACTATTACTATTACTACTACTAACATTATTATTATCATTATTATTATCGCTATTTTTACATTTATTTTTATTTTTACAGTTAATATAATTTCTTTGCAGCACTATTGGTATTTTCTTCTTTTTGTTTTTATTTCTCTTAAAACATATTATTGGTTGGTACCGTTGTTTGGCGTATGTGTGTTTATTTTGGTGTTCACTTGCTCACTGACTGTTGTAACCAAACTATGTTAGCTAACGAACAAAACAGCTGCAGAAACGAGACAGAAAATCTGTGATCCATCCGGTCGTCAACAAATTTTGCAGTTATTTGGTCAGGAAGGGAGGAGGAAGGAAGAACTGCCGTCTGGAACTCCGAGCAGCTCCCCCTCTCAGAACGGATAGGATCAAACAGAACAGCAAACAGAAAGCAGCAGTATCCATCCACATTGTGGAAACTGCTACTGCTGCTGCTGCTGCCTCTTCTTTTTCTTCTTCTTCTTCTTCTACTTCTTCTTTATCTTTTACTTCTTCTTCGCCTTCATCTACGTTGTCGTCTTCCAAAAGCCCGCTTATCATTATTCAGTGGTGATTCATTGATTCTGAAGTCACTTACTGCAACAACCGATTCTCCTTTCATTAAATATTCTCTGCTATTCTATTAATTCTAAACATTTATTTATTTTTTTTTTTTTGCTGCTGCTCCTGCTGCTATTATTGTTTTGTTTTTTTTTTTTTTTGATTTTTTTTCCCTTCCCCTTGTTAGCTTTGCAATATATTCCGAAGAAGAAAAAAAATCAGGCAGCAGCATTGATGTTCTTCGGTTAAGAAAAAAAAAACTGTGGAAAGAAGCGATAGAGTAGCACCGAACAAAAGCAAAACAAGAACAGGGAGAACAGAAGAAAAAAGAAACCAGGGAAGAAAGGGGATAAATAAAATAAGAAAAAATAAATAAATAACTATGGCTGTCTGCGGTGGCTGCAATATGGCCATCCTTGATCGTTATGTTTTCCAAGTATTGGATAAAACTTGGCACGCTTCATGTATTCAGTGTGTCGACTGCAAGGAACCGCTTACTGAAACATGTTTTTCACGCGATGGCCTTATTTTCTGTAGAGAAGATTTTTCCAGGTTTGATCACCGTCTCTTTCTCTTCTTCTGTTTTTAATTTGTAAAAAAAAGGGCTTTTTTGAGTTAAAGTTTTATCTTTTTTCTTTTTCTTCTTCTTCTCAATTTTCCTCTCTTCCCTACTTCTCCCCCACCATTCCATTTTATCCGCATATGACTAATAATTCTGAACTTGCTAAGTGAAGTTGAAGGGTGGAAGAAAAAAAAAAGGAAGTTTGATGTATTCATCGTCATTGGCGATGTCCAAACAGTAATCAGACAACAGTTTTGCGGTTGATTCATATCGTTTGTTTGTCGATTTTGTTGACATCCGTTTTTCTTCTTCTTCTTCTTTTTTTGCGACAGAGGTCCTGGCACTGTTGCCGTTATTATGAGGCAAAACAAAAGCAAAGAATAAAAAAATAAAAAAAGGAAGGAAGAAAAATAAACTTTTTTTAACGATTACTCATAAATTATGAGCAGTTTGAAGTTTTTTAAGTTGATAAAACTTTTATTTTTATTTTCAGCATTTCTTCTTTCCTTCTTGTATTTTAGTGTTGTTTTTGAAGGAGTAGTGAAGAAAAGAAAACAAAAAAATTTACTAGTTTATTGGTCGGAAAAAAAAAACGAATTAAAAGTATCAAAAAAAAAAAAAAGAATAAAGGGGAAAAAGAGGGGGATCGTTAAGTCAAATCAAAAGTGAAAGAAAAAGAAATTGAGAACGAATGAAATACTGTCGAAAAAAGAGAGTGGTATCGTATCTGATGGAAGTGTGTTTTTTGTCCTCTTATTTATTATTACATTTTCTGGTTCTTTTTTTTTCTTCTATTTTTTTAACTACCGTTTTTCCTCCTTTTTTTTCTAAGTGTCCCACTAATTAGATTTTTAATGTTTATAGTTTAATTGAGTAATATTTTTTGTATTTTCTATCGTCTTTCCTTTTCTTTTTTTTTTGGCTGCCAATTGTTGGAATTCGGCACCATTATCAATTTAGGATCATTGAAATTTTTACTACACAAACACTGAAACACACACAGACACAGAATCGGTGTGGAATCTGAAGTGCAAAACAAATGGATTTCTGTTGCAATCAAAGCCGACCCAAACAATGACAGCCACCAAATAAAGCTTTATAATTTGATTTCAGTTTTTTTTTCCCCCTTTTTTGCTGTTCCCTATTTCGTCAAATATACAGAAACCGATTTGAAGAAAAGGCAAAAAAAATAAAAATAAAAATAAAAATAAAAATAAAATAAAAGGAAAGAAAAGAATTCTAAAATAAAATGGTAAATTTTTTTTCTATATTATTTTCTGCATTCTTAGCTTTACGTATATCGATTTTAGTCAAAATTATTGACAATATTTAATAGACGTAAAACAAAAGAACAGAAGACAAGTGGTGTTTTTTTTTGACTATAAAATAAAATAAAGCATATAAAAAGGATTCATATTAGGAAAAAGCACTTTTTTATACCTGCAAATTTGTCATCTTTTTTTTTTCTTTTCATTTTCGCGCATTAATCTCTCTCCCTTTTTCATCCTTTTCTCCAAAAAAATTTTGCAAATCTCTTTTAAAAATGATAAAATTTGGAATTGTTGAAAGATCATCATTGCCATTATCACTGTCATAAGAAGAAGAATGTCTAAAAATAGTAAACCATTTTGCTTTACTTTAATTCTTCTACTCACGTTTAGTTGTTCTAAGCAGAAGTCATGATTCTGCTGTCGGTAATTTCTGTGCAAAAAAGTCCGTTAAAAAAAAAAAAAGTTGAGAACATTGTCAGTTAAGTGTTTTCCAGAAACCGTACAAAGATTTCAATAAGTTTTCTTATCAATAAACTGTATTATATTTGTTAGTATTAACGTTTAGAGTTATGCAAAAAATGTTAAGTGGTATAACTGAGCCTCTCTGTTTTTCCCCTCTCTGACATCGGTGAATACGGATTGAAGAAACAGTTGGTGGTTGACAGGGATTTTTGTTGGTTTTTTTTTTCTTTTTTTGTCAACGTTGCTCGCCAATTTTTTTTTTGCCCTCTAAATTCGGATAATTAGTTTAAAAAAAAAATCTTCTTTATACTCAATTAATCACCCTAAACTATGCCTCGTGTTAGTTTACCCAACTGACTGCTGTTTTATTTTTTTTTGCTTGGGAAAGTAAGAGAAGACGACAGCTATTGTCTACGAAAAAGGGTTACAACTGCGGTTAAGACAGCCGCAATTGAATTGATTTGTAGAACAACCTTTGATCCGTGTTACCTTCCCTCTCGTTGATCATTATTTATCACCTATTCATTTTTGGCAAAACTATGTGAAAATAACACTTCGCTTCTGTCTTTTTTTTCCTTTTTTTTTTCTTGTGTACTGCCATGTGAAGAATCATTTTCCTCTCGACTAGAAGAAGAAAAAGTAAATAGGGTAAAGCGTAGGGGAGAGAAGGAGAATTTTTTCTGGCTTTGTATCTTATTTTTACTTTTCAAATGTCAAACATTTAGTCTTAAGCAGTAGTAGCGAAAAAAAAAAGAAGACAAAGAAGAAGGAAGAGTAGGAAAAGGAGAAGAAGAGAAGAAAGTTTCATGATCTGAAGATAAGATGAAAATGTACCGCAAAAATGTTGCTTTTAGTTTCAAACACAAATATTCCCATAAGACATAACAAATAAATCAGACAAAGGAACAGACTTTTTAGGAAGGAAAAAAAAAATGCTTTTTTAATGCATATTTTTTCCCTTCCTTTCTTTAAAGTTGCGAAAGAAATTTGTTACAAAAAAAAAAATCCTAACAGAAGTTTCTTTTTTTTTTTT